CACATTTATAATATATTTATAGTTATACATACAAACTAATTATTGTTAAATAAATAATGAAATTTGTTTTTATGGTTTGTGGATATCGTTGCCTCAATGTATTTTCACCATGTTATAATAGCTCTTAAGTCAAAGGAGAAGAAAACTTGTCTTTTTAGGATATTCAAAAGTTATGAAATAGTAGTAATATAGACATTCATTTTTTAACAATTAGTTTCTTGAGAATGCACACAATGATCAAAGTTGTCTATAAAATTTTGTGTATCATTACTATATTTGTTTCTTTCTCTTATTGACAAGTCATATCATTTATATAATAATAGTATATTCAACTACGTAAACATCAGCCACTCAATCTAAATTCTATTCACTCATTGTACGTAAGAATCTTTACCTTTAAGATTAACCGTCCAATTTTTTTATAAACACAATTGCCATTAGGGGTGGAGCTGTTTGATACATAGGGGGTCACTTGACCCCTACAACTTTAATAAAATTTCATTTATGGACTTAATTATATGGTATTTGGTAGTTGATTTAGATTTAAATATTAAAGTTGACGAAAGTTTAAATCTTGTCTTTGCACTCCCCCCTTTTGTTAATTTTTTTCTTCTATAGGCATACACTCTACCTCTTTCCGTGTTTTTATATATCTACTTTTATTCTTTTTTTCGTTCATAGAAATTAAATCCTTCTTAATATATAAATCTAGGCAACTGTTTTTGTTTTTTTATATGGAAACAACAATTAACTTATTAATCTAATACCATCTATATATTTAGATAAATAAATTTTGTGGAACGGTACCATTTTTTCTCACCAGTATTTTCGAAAAACATTTTGAATTACGAAATGATACATAACATAAGACAACTTGTATATTTTATTGAGAAATTTTTAGATATGCCACTTTTCAAAAATTCAACATTTTTAAAATTCTTGCAAGTGTGCCACTCTTTTTGGTCAATATTCTCATATTACCTTTTGACTCATTAAACTTAATTTTTTTCAGATCTGGTGGTGGATTTAGTTAAGAACATAGATCTAATATCATTGTCTTCAATTTTGTCATTGTTGTTGAGGAAGAGCATGGATATGAGATAGGTTTTTTAAAAAAATACATCTGAGATTTGGATGCGGTGGATTTTAGAAGAAGAAGAATATTCTCAAAGAAAATGCAAACACACAAATACTTTTAAAAATTATAATTTCAAAAGTTTTTGATAAAAGATACAAAATACTATAAATTTTTGAGTTTGAGTTAACTATTATGCATTTAGGGTTTAGTTTTTGAGGGTTTAGGGTTTCCATTTATATTATCAATTTAAAAAAAAAATTAT